TCTTCATCTTCATCTTCATCTTCATCTTCATCTTCATCTTCATCTTCGTCGTCTTGGTCTTCATCTTTATCATTTCCTTTATCCTGATCTAAATATGTCCATTCTTTTCTTCATTTACATATCCACCCCCACCATTGTTATTTGGTTAGGTATTTAAATTTTCCTTCCTCTTTGTCTTTATATCTAGGTTTCTTTACTTTTATTTTAATTTCTGTATTTATCACTTTCTTCTTCTCCATACTCAACTTTACCTTCTTCCTTGTTTGAGTCTAATCTATTCATGTACATACATACATACATTTTATTCCTGAACTGCTGCTTAGCACGTTTCTTTAATTCGCTATCAATATTAAAGCATACATTTAGGGGGCATTTCCGCCCCAACCATGTACATGTGTGCATTGGTATTGGTGTGACTTTTGAATTGATTTTTTCGCTCTATTTTAAACTGATTTGAAATTTTAAAAATTGCCTGCACATCAGCATCAAAATACCTTTCTAATGATATATAACTGTTTATACCTTAGAAGTATAGTTTAGCCGTAAAAGGGGTGTAAAGGAAACATGATTGCCTATTTATATATATGATATATGTATTGCGCATATCTATGCACTTATGTATGTATGCATACTTGTACATTAGACCGTACCAGAAAAAACAAATTCGTTCGTTCGTTATAATCGGGTTCTAAAGTATTTGTTTTTTTTTTGTTTTTTTCCAAAGTTCATTGACTTCAAATACCCCGTTCCACAAATATGACTATAAGTGACCATCAGATTAAGGTGCAGGGATGGTATTTTCAGCGACAGTAGCCGAGATTTCTAGATTTAATTTAAGCCTAAGTGAGAGGTTTTATCACGTTTTCTTTCTTTTCTAGAGCTCGTAAAATATTGCAAAAATCGCAGTATTTTTTGACACTTTGACCTCGTTTTTCTCAAAATCGGGACCTGATCGAAACTTTATACTTACGAATTTGTAATCAGCACAAGAAAGTCTATCCAAAACAGCTTTCACAATTGCCGCACCAAAATGAGTGTTGCCATGTGTAAGTTTTCCATACAACACAATGAGCGCTGTTATTATTTTATAGCGCTATTTAGTCGTGAATTACAACAGAACTCGGATGAATCTGTAAACTCCCTTTTTGAATACCTGAAGTACATTTTTTTGCTATTTTTCAATAATCAAATAAAACTATACTTATACATATATCTTTTTTTAGACAGTTTTTACAATACATGTTTAGATATAATTACTTGTGTCGAAAATTTTAATTTAATGACTTAGATTATTTGAGATACCGTCAGAAACGCTCTCTATCTCGCAAAAAAATAATTAAGTGCTTTAACCACTACTTTAAAATAAAATTTCGGAAGCACAATTTTAGAGGCAATGAGAAAAGCAACACAAACTTTAGTAAGAATAGCAAGCTCAAACTACTCTAGTGAATGAGATACAAAAAAGGTGTGCCTTATATTTTTCATCCACTATGCAATGAACCTTCCTAATGACAAATTACTATAGATGCATATTTAGATAGTGTTCAAACAACAACAAAATTAGCCAATCATGCTATTTATGCTATCTATGCACCTTGCTACACAGTATGCAATGGATCGTGAATACCCTTCATGTTGAATATTGGCCAGCTTTTTTCGTTATTTCTCCCACTGTGCGTTCTAGTACTTACCCAGATGTCAGTTCTTATCACCCTAACGTACCACCCTAATGTCATGAAATTGAAGTTTTTCGATTATTTCACTATAACTATTAAAAAAAAATGTATAGCAGTATGTAGATATCAACGAAAAATGTCAACAGGCGACTCCGAGGTCTGGCGAAGAAAAGAAATCGAATTTGCCTTGCCAAAATACTTTGTTTGCTTGTAAGGTGGTACGAACTTATGTACACATATCTATTTATATATATATATATATATATATATATATGTGTATGTAATCATGTTCATCTTCATCAGTATTATGCAGGGCCTTTAAGAGAAATGGCCATAACTCCACGTTCGCATTCTATCTACTCTAAGCGCATGACAATACCTCTACAACAACAAAAATGCAAAGGAAGAATTTCAACAAATTCCTAACAAGGCAGTCACATTCTAATACAAGTAAGTCGATAATTTGCAGATGGTTAGTTTAATGGTAGATTATCATGAAGATAATACAATTTTGAGGGACAGTACTAGTCCTGAGTAGGACAGTTTTAAAAAAATTACTCTTAAATGATTTTCCTTATAATGGTATTTGACTCTGAATAAATACACCGTACTTTAAAAAATATTTTTGTGGAACCAATATTTCGAGTATTGTTGGTGTTCTGTAAAGGATCGGGATAGTATAATTCCATAACATTTATTTTTCGGGATTCATAAAACGCAAACTTATGATTAAATTTTTTTTTACTTGATAAATCCCCAAACTTCCAAAAGAACCCGAAAAATCCGAAAATAAAATGAGAAGCATGGCTAAATAAGTTCCCGATAAATCCCGAAAAATACAACGCGATGGAACCCGAAATCTCCCAAAAGAAGCTTTGGAAAGTCCCCAAAAAAATTAGAAACGATCCCGAAAAATCAATATTTTTGGACCTGAAAGGTCCCGAAATTCCCGAAAAAATAATGAAAATTAAAACAAAGAATACCTAAAAATCTGGGAAAGTACCGCAAAATGCCACACAATGAATCCCGAAAACGTCCAAAAATTTTGGAAAGTACCGAAGAGATCCGAAAAGTAAATTAATTACAATCCCGAAAAATTGCGAAAGCCCAATCCGTCCGGGAAAAAATTACACGAAAATCTTAATAGCCTCTCAAAACATCCGAAAATGCAAAAAAAAAGTAAAGCTTTCCTGACAAATTTCCGAGCAGAAAATTATTTAATAATAATTTTTGTTTTTTATTTTCCGGCTACTCATAAAAAGCCAAGTTGTGATTTAAATGCATTTTTATACCTGAAAGATACCGAAAACATTCACAAAATTCCGAAAAATATGCAGAGAATTCACGAAAAATAAAACAAGAAGAATACCGAAAACTAATGAAAATAAATCACCAAGGTCCTCAAAAAATTCCCAAATGATAACAAAAAATCTGGAGATATCGAATACGGGCAATTCCGAGAACTTACGAACAAATGCATATAATTCCAGAAAAAAAACAAGAAAATTGTATAAAGTTTCGAAAAAAAAACGAAAAATAATAAAAATAAAAGCTTTCCTATTAAATTGTTAAGCAGAAAAGTATTTAAATGTTAGATTTTTATATTTTGGTTATTCAAATTACGATTTTAATGCACTTTTGGAACTGTAATCAAAAAAACTTTTCGAGAGATACCGAAAAGTAAAAGTCGAAGAGATCCGAAAATTACCAAAAAAAATATATAAAAAATCCTGAGCAAATCCCAAAAGTTGGCAAAAAATCTGGAAAAATAAAATAATAACAATTCCGAAAGCTTACGAAAAATTCCGAGTATTCCTGTTGAAATTCCAAGAAGCACTTAAACAGCCACAGATCAAAATAAAACACGTAAAAGTCCTAAAAATTTCCAAAAAAAGTTAAAAAAATCCTAGAAGACCCCGCATAACCTAGAAAAATAAAATAAGAAAATTTCTGAAAGCTTACGAAAAAATGCCGAATATTCCTGAAAAAATCCCAAGAAACTCCTAAACAATCACATTTTGCTCGCTAAAACACGAAAAGTCCCGAAAATTTCTTAAAAAAGAGTTAGCAAATTCAAAGAAATCCGGAAAAATAAAATAAGAGCAATTCCGAAAGCTTACGAAAAAATGCGAAATATTCCTGAAAAAAAAACCCCCAAGAAACACTTGAACAGTCAGTCACAGAGCAAAATAACACTAAAAGTCCCGAAAATTGCTTTAAAAAGTTAGAGGATTCCCAAAAGATACCAAAAAATCTCGAATAATAAAATAAGAAAAATTCTGAAAGCTTACGAAAAAATGCTGAATATTCCTGAAAAAAATCCAAGATACTACAAAACAGTCACAGAGAGCAAAATAAAACACGAAAAGTCCCGAAAAATAAATTTTAAAAAATTCTGAAAGCTTACGAAAAAATGCCTAATATTCCTGAAAAAAGTCCAAGAAATGCGTAAACAGTCACAGAGCAAAACAAAAGACGAAGAGTCCCGAAAATTTCTTAAAAAAGGTAGAAAATCCAAGTGAAATCCGAAAAAAAAAATAAAAAATAACAAAAATTCTGAAAGCTTACTCTCAAACAGTCACAGACAAAAATAAAACACGAAGAGTCCCGAAAATTGTTTTAAAAAATTTGAGAATATTCCCAAAAGATACCCGAAAAATCTCGAATAAGAAAATAAGAAAAACTCCGAAAATTTGTGAAAAATGCGGTTCGTTCCTCAAAAACAGCCCAAGAAACTCTCGAAACCCCCCCCCAAGGCATCTCATTTTATTATCACCGCCAGTTTTTGAAGAGACCTTGGCAAAGTGGGCAGATTTTGTTGGCAAAGCACTTAAATCCATTTCGAAACCAGTTGCGAAATTTAAAATAAACAGCTAGTGCTTTTATGAATAAATTCACATTTCTCACTGCTGAGTACACACTCACGAGCAAATAACTTTGTGCGAGAAGTACTTTAAACAATTTACTAGCGATTTTATGAGCATATTTCTTCTCATTTTATTCAGGTACTTGCAATATTAATAAATGAAATACTCGAACGTACTCGTACATAGAAGTAAAAGACAAAAGCAAAAATGGCTGGGGAGGTTAACAGGTGTCAACTTAAAGCGCTACTGAAGAACATTCACGTATTTGCCAAATATGTATTTATCGGTTTAGTAGCTACACATATACATATGTACACGTATGTGCATGTGAGCACAGCTTAGACAACAACACTTGGTGCAACGAGCTTAGCTAGTGCTGCAGCAATTGGAGCAGGAGCTATTACCGATGCGGCAGGGGCCACCACAAAAGGCGCTGTATAAGCAGCTACAGCAGCGGGTATGGGAGCAGGAACAGCAGCAGCTGTGTAAGCGGCAGCTATGGGTGCCGAGTATGCAGCAGCAGGTGCAGCTGGTGCAGCAGGCGCAACAAAAGCAGCTGAGCTGGGTGCGACCAACTTGGCAGGTGAGGCAGCAGCAGCTATCACTGGTGTTGCATAGTAATTGCTCTGTACATCGACACGTTGACTGGCGACCGCGGAGTTCAATGGAGCATTAGTGTAGGCGGCGGCAGCTGGGTATGCGGCGGCATAAGGTGAGGCGACATAAGGCCCGGCAGCATAAGGTGACGTATACGCAGCGTAGGGTGATGAGTATGCAGCGTATGGTGGTGTGCTAAAAGCGGTGGTGGTGGCTACAGGGGCGGGCGCGGGTGCAGCTGCAGCATATGGAGAAGTAGTGTATGCAGCTGCTACGTATGGGGCGGCGGCGGCGGCGGCCACCACAGGAGCAGTAGCGACAGCAACAGGCGCAGCTAAAGCGACTTGTTGGGGTTCAGCTTTAGCTGTTACGCGAGCAGCGCATACAGCAATCAGCAATAGCAACAACAACTGCAAGAATATAAAGAATTCAATACATAACTAGTTTATTGAAGCGTGTGCATGTGTGTGTGTGTGTGTGTGTGTGTGTGTGTTTATGCGCGCATAAAAAGTCCTTTCCTCAATTCAATCAACCACTTACTAGTTTCGACATCCTGAGTAATATTTGATGGGTTTTCTTTTATTTGTGTCTTTTTTCTTTACTTTTTGTGTTTGCTTCCTTTCTTCCTTCCTTCCTTCCTTCCTTCCTTCCTTTCGTCGTTGCTACTTCTTAGTCGTTGCGAATTCTTGAGTTTGCCGCTTTTAATCAACGTTGGTGCGCTGAGTCGTGCATAGAATGCATTCCAGTACAGTGGATCGTTCGCATTTTATAGGGTGGTGGTGGTTCTGGTACTCATTGCATTTTATACTGTATTAGTACTTAGTGAGTATTCCACTTATTCTGTTTCTGCTTCTGCTTCTGCTTCTACTTCTTATTCTGCCGCTGCTACTCCTGCTTCTTTCCTGTCTCCGTCTTCATCTTCTCTTTCTATGTCTCTGCTTCTACTGATTCTGCTGCTGCTGCTTCTGCTTCTATACCTCCTTCATCTGCCCGGGTTTGGTTGCACGCTTTGCCAACTTTTGTTAACTTCTTAATGCAAATGTTCGTCGTCTGCGACATCAATTTGTCAAAACCGTAGCACTTTGAGTGACGCTATGGTCGGTTCTATGGCTTTTATGTGGTTGCCTGTATATGTGTGTATGAATTTGTTGGTATATGTGTGTATATAGTAACAAATTGCGTTCTATTGCAAAACAATACAAAAGTGCTCAGTTTGCTGTCATTCAAGGACTTGCCATCGTTATACGCCGTTGGCAAATTATCAAGGAATTTTATAGCAAGAAGTTAGTTTTCTGTTAGCATTTATATGTATATGTACATACATATGTATGTATGTATGTATGTATGTGCAGCTAAATGCATTCATGCATATACAACTTTGTGTATGTAGTTACTAGTATATGTACTCTACTATCTACAGACTCTCGGCTGTAGATATGTATTCAATAAAAAATAGAGACGAAAATACAAAATTTTAATCTGGTGGATTAGAGAAAGTTTGGAGCGCCATTCCGGTTTCCCCTCTTTCTTACTTCAAATGTAAAATACGTTAATGCTTTAAAGCAAAGAGTAGTTGTGTAATCTCGCTGAAAGAATAATTATCCGAAAAGTTCATTAGTTGGACCGAAACTTCTCTGACTTGTAAACTACAATGAGAATAATAAAGTGCCGCGAGTTTTTCCGGTGGACGAACGTCTCGTCACAATGCGCATCAAAGCAAGATTCTACAACAACTCACTCATTTTTGCCCACCCCCCGACGGAGGAGTAGGACGAGGCATTAAAGGATCTCTTCTATGAGCGCTTGGAGCGCACATGAGCGCTGCCCCCGCCATTATAACAAAATCGTGCTTTACGACTTCAATGCCAGGACGGGCAAGGAAGGAATTTTGGAACCACGACGAAACGTCCGACAACGGCCTGAGGCTAATCGACTTCGCCGGGACCCCAAACATGGTAATATGTAGTACTTGGTTTCAGCATAAAAAAATGCGCAAATCCACATGGCTGTTTCCATATCGAAAAACGAGAAACCAAATCGAACATGTTGTGATAAACGGAACGCACGCTTCCATTGTCTTAGACGTACGTACACTCCAAGGCCCAAACATCGTCTCGGGGCGCTATCAGTAAAAAATGTACGCCCAAAAATGCAAGGAAAGCTCAACGTCGAAAAGCAGCAGTCACAACAGCCAGCCAATGCATTCGCTACTCGACTCTCACACCTAATCTCAGAGAGCACTGTTCAACAAGCCGACGTATGCGAGCAGTGGAAACACATTTCCCACTTATTAAGTACCGCCGCCGAAGAAGTAGTCGGATATCAGCGAGCCCGAAAGAACAACTGGTACGATTAGGAATGTCACGAAGCTATGAGTGACCGATATAGCGGCCTGAAGAGGGAAGCGAGACGTATTTGCCGCAATAAGAAGAGAGAGACCGAAAAACGATAGTGCGAAGAGCTTGAAATGCTGGCCGACTGAAAAAACGCCAGAAAAAAGTTTACCAGAGAGTTAGGCGACTTACGGAAGGTCGGTGATAAGGTATATGCATCAAGAAGAATTGAAGAATATGGTCAGATGAACGCATGTCCGACGACTGGAATTCAAGTGTGCTCTGCTCAATCCACAAGAAATGTGACACCGTACTCCGCGCCAATTACAGCGACTTCAAAGCCGCTTTCGACAGCACCAAAAGGAATTTGGTATGGACAATAACATCCGATGAGGTGGCTCTTGGAGTATTCGAGAGAAAGATTTTGTAAAAGATTAACGGGCCTCCACGCGCTGGCGATCGCGAGTACCGCAGATTATAGAACGATTAGCTGTATGAGCTTTACAACGACATGGACATAGTGCAGCGAATTAAAATACAGCAGCTCCGTTGGCTTGGCCATTACGTTTGAATGGACTCCGATGCTCCAGCTCTGGAAGTATTCAACTCGGAACCCGCTCGTGATAGCAAAGGCTCCCACTGCGATGGGAAGACCAAGTGGCTTCAGTGGACAAGAGAAATGAATGAAAAAGAAGAATTTGTGTGACTAGAAAACGAACTTCCACACACTGCACTGCTCAGCCGGCCTAAAGCCGGTTTTGTATGGGTAACAGGGGCAAGAGAGTGCCAGTTTACCTTGCGAAAATCACGGACTAATAATTAAGGAAATCATGCAGATGTGAAGGCCCTCTATATTCTAGAGAAGGGCTTCCGAATTGCTTTCTGCTCCTTATTTTTATACCCGAGCGCACTTGTGCACAAGGGTATTATAACTTTGTTCACATAACGGTTGTTTGTAACAGGCAAAACGAATCGAGATAGATATAGACAAATGTATACATAAATGATCAGAATGAAAATAGAAATCGATTAAGCGGTGACCGTCTGTCTGTCCGTCCGTCCGTCCGTCTGTGTGATGGTATTGAAAATGGGCAAAATCGGACAATAACCACGCCTACCTTCCATATAACGGTAATTTTCAGAAATATGAAAACTGCGATATTTTAGTAACTACTGAAGATTATTCACTCAAAATTGACATTTACAATGATTTTTAGACGAAAAATAAGAATATTATAAATTTTTGAAAAATGGGCGTAGCCACGCCCACTTATGGTTACATGTGTATATCTTGGCAACCGCAGCACCGATTTCTTCCAAACTTGGCACAGTTGTTGGCCTTGGTACAGCATACCAAATGGCTGAAAATTTTTAAAATCGGACAATAACCACGCTCACATCCCATATAACGGTAATTTAGAGAAATACAAAATCTTCGATAAATCAGTAAATATTAAAGCTAATTTATTCAAAATTTATGCTTGCAACAACCCTTTACCAAGAAAGACGTTTATGATAAAATTTTGGAAAATGGGCGTGGCACCGCTCCCTTATGATCATATATATGTATCTCAGTAACCGTTATACCAATTTGTACCAAACTCGGTATGGTTATTGTGCTTGCCACATAAAAGCAAACCGTTGAAAATTATTGAAATCGGACTAAAATTACGGAGCTTTTCATATAACGGTAAATTTCGGGAATGCTTGAAACTTCAATATTTCAGAATTTAAGGAAGCTAATTTACTCAAAATTGATACAGCCCGGCTTACCATGTAGCGGTAGCTTTCGGAAAGGTGAAAAACATATACTTAATATTTGCGCCGGGTATTTAATGTTGGAGTGCAATGGGGTATAGTCGTTGCGCTGGGTATGCAGTAACAGTTGCATGGCTATACTCAATCCCGACTCTTGCGTCCTCGTTCGCGCACTCTGGGCAACGTGAGCAACCCATGTGCGAGATGCGGTAACCAATCCGAGTGGAGCCTTGGGTCACGGCAGAAAGAGAGGGAGCTTCGGTGGGGCCACTCCGACTTATTCGGTTTAAGGGCTCACTGAAGTCTGCAGCGTCTGTTCACCAGTAGGTGCGGCTGCAAGCGGGTGTCTGCTTGGAGCAAGCGGCTCGCTATATAAACGTGTATTTGGTTGCGAAACCACCCCCGTCCCAGCAATGGGTTGTGCGCTGGGCTTGGGACCCGCCACGTAAAAACCACTTCCAGTGAAGAAGCAAGGCAAAGCCTCGGATGAGACCCCCCCCCTTATGATGACGACCACGGCAAACGTTTAAAGGACTACGATTTGAGGGCATGCACCTGGAATGTCCGGACCCTTAATGGGGAAGGTGCCTCTGCCCGGTGGGTTGATGTCCTCGTAAGGACAAAAGCTGACATCGCCGCCATCCAAGAAATGTGTTGGACGGGGCAAGGCAAGCAATGTCTGGGGCCTTGCGACGTCTACTACAGCTGCCATGTAAAGGAGCGCAAATTCGGTGTTGGATTTGTGGTGGGAGAGAGACTCCGTCGCCGAGTACTGTTGTTGACCCCGGTGGACGAGCGTCTAGCCACAATCCGCGTCAAAGCGAGATTCTTCAACATCTCGCTCATCTGCGCCCATGCCCCGACGGAAGAGAAGGATGAGGCATCCAAGCATCTCTTTTATGAGCGCTTGGAGCGCACATATGAGCGCTTGGAGCGCACATACGAGCGCTGCCCCCGTCATGATATCAAAATCGTGCTTGGCGACTTCAATGCCAGGGTGGGCAAGGAAGGGATCTTTGGAACCACCGTCGGAAAATTCAGCCTCCCCGACGAAACGTCCGACAACGGATTGAGGCTGATCGACTTCGCCGGGCCCCGAAACATGGTAGTATGCAGTACTAGGTTCAAGCATAAAAAGATCCATCAAGCTACGTGGCTGTCTCCGGATCGAAAAACGAGAAACCAAATCGATCATGTTGTGATAGACGGAAGGCACGCTTCCAGTGTTTTAGACGTACGCACACTCCGAGGCCCAAACATCGACTCGGACCACTATCTTCTTGCAGCCAAGATACGTACCCGCCTCTGTGCAGCAAAAAATGTGCGCCCAAATATGCAAGGAAAGCTTAACGTCGAAAAGCTGCAATCACAACAGACAGCCAGCGCTTTCACTACTCGACTCTCACACCTGCTCTCAGAGAGCACTCTTCAACAAACCGACATATGCGAGCAGTGGAACCA